GGTGCAGTAGGAACTTAAGAACCCAGAGGTCTCCCCTTATGTACTGGTAGAATGTGACTGTGCTTTATACTTAGTTATTGACAGACTTCTTAAAGATACCTGTTCTCTTCAGGTAGCGCCATTACCTGCACTTAGTGTCTGGCCCGCTTCACTTGCTTCTGCCGGTCAGTCTGCCATGGGTGACCCTCACGGTTGCTGTGACTTGTGACATTTCTGTGTAGTCAGAGACAGCCCACATACTTCCTAACCCCCCACATGTGTTCTAAAGACAAAACGTTTTTATGGTGCTGTTACCCCAGGAGTCACACAAGCCGCCTGACTTCTTCTCATTGCAGTTAGTAACGACTAAGGGGAAACCCAGCTCCCAGCGTGAGTGTGACGGGCAATGACCAGTCTGTTCCATGGAACAGCCCCGTCCTGACCGACACATTGTATTTCTGGGTCCAAGATGCACCCCTGTGATACTGTGGCAATTTAATATACCCCTCCGACAAGAACTCTAAAGCTTTTTAAATTATGTTGACTTATAGGCTAACTGATACTGTTACTGTCCCACAGAAGGCAGTGGGTAACCCAGAGCAGCGATCGTTAGCCAGGTCCTGCACAGTAATTCCCAACTGGTGAATCGCTTTCACAACAACTTGCAAAATCTGTTGTGTCACATGGTGTTCGAAAGGGTTTTGGCCACTTAGTACCAGGATGGGGAAGAGGTGTGTGTGTGTGGGGGGATGAAGAACCTACTTTTAATATTCAAATATTTATTCGTGTGATTATTTTTAACAATAGAACATGTATCTATTGCTTTAGGACTGTGTAAGGGAGTGAAGAGAGGCCTACTTGTTTTAAGGACAAATTTAAAAATAGCAACAGTATTTTTGTTGGTCTTACTAATGGATAGTGATAAAAACTCTCTACTGCATTACTGTATTGGGGTCATATCAAGAGCACATAGTCATTTGATATGACACAGCTGGGTTTTTTTACAACAGCTAAGAGGGACTATAGCGTTTGACAGGCAATGAAACTAAGATGTCTTAATGGCCAAGTGATACAAATACTAAGGGAAGGGAAGGCGGTCAGTCGGTCACATCCTGTTTGAGAATGATCTGCATTAGAAGTTGACTTGCCTTCAGAAATAAGACAAGGGTTTTGTCACTCCTTATAATTTTTGTGTCATATCACCTGAAAAAGATGTTTCCTTTAAGAATTTCTGTGCTTTTCGGAAAATGTGCATTACTAACACAGTCCAGAAGAAAAATTGAGCAATGGTAACTTTTAAATGGCAGTGGTGAATGTCAGCTTGAGTTCAGTTACCGGTTCAGCGCACACAAAGGTGCTATCCTGGGGATTTTACGGTGTCTTAAAAGGAAAATAGAATATGACCAATTCCTTGCCACGTGGAAGAGTGCTGAACTGTGGTTTTGTTTTCCTTTATTCTGTAAAATGTGATTTTTTTTTTAATGTCTGTGATAGACTGAGCAGAACATCACAGCTTCCAAGAATATGCCATAGCTTTCAAACATTTTTACTTTTAAAATTTTTTAATGAGAAACCTCAGGATTCCTTAGAGACCGTAAGGTTGTTGCAGCGCCACCTAGGGGTTAAGCTGATACAAATCAAGGGGGAAATGAAGACTTGTTTAGCGTGGTGTGCAGAAAAGGAAAGAATGTTTCAGTGTAGTTTTCTCTCCATCCGAGCCTCTTATCATTTATCTGTTTGAAAACATACATGGCAGGCTTGTCTTGTCTCTGTCACACACTAGGTAGCAAAGGGGGTAATATTTTTTATAGAAGTGGACAAAAATTATTTTCTCAATTTTACCGACTGGGCACATAAGGAAAGTACAGCTAGGCCTGTAGTTATTGCCTTATTTTGACTGCATTACTCCCAGACGGGTCATTTAAAATAGTTCTTTAAGTAACAGTTGCTGGGTTTTCCATTCCTGAATATTTACGCCGATCTGTACAAATAGAGAAGATCCTTGTGTTTAGATCTAGTATGTATGGGATAAGAAAATGACTTTTTTTTTATTTTGAACATGTTTTTAAATTGCCCTTTTTTAGTGCAAATGATAGAAATACCCCTGTAGCGTTAGTGGACACATTATTTATCTCATTTTACATCTCTGTTTGCTATGCCCTAGCTCAGTCCTGCTGCGTAGAGGATATAAACAAGATATATTCCTTTAGAATGTGCCACTTTGCTCTCCGCCTAAAGAATTCAGTTTGCTAGCTTCCACGTTTTTAAACTGTTGAACTGGCTTACGTATATAATAAACATTATACTGGCTCAGACCAAGGAGATATTTTCTAAAATCATTTTTCTTTAAATTACTTTCTACTTCTGTTACTGGATCTGGTGTCTCTTAAAATGTAAGAAACCAGTCACTTACTATTAATGGTAAACCATCTGCTCATTATAAATGTGAGATTTAACAAATAAGTAATACATGCTATATTTATTCCAGTGTCTATTGCTTACTTGTTAATTGTGAGCAGATTGTTGAATGCCAACTCTATTTTCTGCAGTTTATTATACAGTAACTCTATGAGCAAGTTGAAGTTTAATTGTGCAACAAATTTATATTAGAATACAATAAAGCGTTTTTCTCTATAGCCTTTTTTGACTGGGGAAGCAGGGCAATGTTGATTAGTACATTTATTTATCTTAATACTGGTTGTGTTTCCATCAGATACGGTGCCCTGCCTCTCCTAGAGAGCTAGAAGACTGTCCTTTTCTCCTATATGTGGGTTCTGTTTTTGTGTTTTGTTTTGTTTTGTTTTTTTGAGAATATGCATACAATAAAATGTTCCTCGCTTGTTACTCTGTTGCTTAATTTAGCTTTTGTTGTGTTTGATCTGGACACAGGGCGGTAATAGTAGCCATCAAGTGTTTAGCATCCTCTGTGTGCTGGGTGCTCTACCTATGTTATATTAACCAATCCTAGCAATTCCTCTGCCAGGCATCATTGTCCTCATTTACAGCTGAGAAAACCAAGAGGAAAGATCCTGTCTGTCTGTCTGTCTGAGTTGAAAGCACATGTCTTCCTCACACCACCTGCCTTAATGTGCTAGTGTGGAATGAGTGTTTTATATAAGGAAAGTGGGTATTTTCTCTTCTGAAGTTTGTGAAGCCTCGGAGTCAGATTGCTCAGGATGCCGAAGTTCTCGGAGCGTGCTGAGCTACGAAGGGGTCCCGTGATCTTGTCCTCACCTCCACCTCGGCACCTATTTTGTCAACATAGGGTGGTTCTGACCTAGGAGAAGTGCTTCCTCAGCTTAACTGAGAAGTCGATTTAGAAATCAGAATGGCAGTTTACTGTGCTATTTAAAAAAAGATATAGCTTTATTTTCTCTCATCATCAAAATAATGTGTTTTATTGTAATAAAAAGGAAAGGAAAATAAAAAGACAATACCAAAAAATATAAAAAGATTTTTTATTTTATTGTTAGTTTTTAAAGAGAAAAAACATTTTAATTATGTAAGTATGCATGGAAATTTCACCAAAAAATGAGACTCTAAGATGATTTTTTAAAAATCTCCCATCCTGCCACCCAGGGAAAATACTGTTAAACTTAACGCTATATTTCCAGTGTCTTTTTAAATGCATGTATACATATATAACACACACATATGGGATATATTTTTCATGAGGCCATGCTTTTTTTTCCCACTTGATAGGTTTGCCATGTCAGAAAACAGAACTCCACGTTGCATTTGTAGTTAGCCCTGTGCGTCCTGGCATGACTGACCAGGATTGCCAGTCTCCAGCCCTTTGAGGTTAGGTCAGGCCATGTGACTTGCTTTAGCCGGTGACTTTCAGGCAGAAGCATTAATTGCAGGTGAGAGGCTCAGCCACAGCTATTTCTTCCACAGTGGTCCCGAAGCACATGTTGGTAGCGAAGTGGGACATTGAACCATCCCTTGGACCTGCAGTGGACTTTGCATGAGGGAAAAATAAGTCCGTTGTGTTAGTCCACTGAGGTAGGGGTATGTGCGTGTGTGTTTAACCTACTGCATAATCCCGCCTGGACAGCAGTAGTCCATTGTTCCATTATGTGGCTAAACTGTTATTTATTTCACCAATTCCATGATGAAATTAGGTTATACATTTTTAGAGTATTTGTAATTTTAATTAAAACACAAAACATTTAAAAATGCTAAACTCAGTATGCTTATATGTTCATCTTTGCCCACTTTTCCAATTATTTTCTTAGGATAAAGTCTTAGAAGTAGGATTTAGTAGGTCAAAGAATATGCACATTGTAAGTTTTTAAATTTTTATTGCTAATATCCTGACAGCATTACCAACACTTGAATTTATTCCTTTGAATAAATAGGTAATAAAAAGGCATATCTTAGTGTCTTGATTTATAAAATTCCAGTTTATTCATTTACAATGAGAATTCTGTCTGCCAAGTAGACCCCAGTTTCCGTAGGACAGTCTAGGTAGAACCCAAGTTGTCATTGGAAGGCTGCTTAGAGGACAAGGACACAGAAAGAAAGTTTGGCTGGATGACCTCGATGCCGTCACAGCAGCCTGAGGTGGTCACCGCCGAGGTTGCTGGAGAGTCAGCTGGTCTCTTCACTTGGAAGGTGGAAGCACAGCAGCAAGTTCTTGTTTCTGGCTTCCCTTTTTAGGTTTCACAGAGCTGACCATCCATCTGTAAAAACGTTCTCAGGTCGGTCATGCAGGTGCTTGGGTCACAGCTTTCTCTCCCATCCATCACTCAGTCTCCGAGTCCCCTTGGCTGTGCGGAGACCTCTCTCTCATTCTTTCACTTCCCATACAAGCCATCCCTCGGGAAGCTCATTCATACCGAGGGTGCGATTTCTCATGACGTCCTGGGCCACTTCTTGATTTCGGTCTCACCATTCGAAATACAGGCATGGAGCCTGAGATGTAACTCTCAGGTCAAGCCCAAGGGAAAAACCGAAGTGGCCTGCCTGACCTCAAAGCCCACGCTC